CCCCCCCCCCCCCCCCCAGTCCTCATATTTGGATTACTAACTTCACTGCAGCTTCTGCAGAGCTGTGCTTCGGGATCATGTTTCAGGATGTAATTAGCCTCACAAAAAAAAAATGAAGGGAAAATGCTTCAGTCATTTTATTTTCCATGCATAAGCTACAACTTAGGGTGAAATCATTGCTGTAAACAGACAAAAGAAAAGCTTTTCGTGCTAAACCTTCAACAAAAAGGTTTGCTGCTTATAGGTTATAGGCTATACAGGCAGGAGTAGATTGAGAAAATATGAACTGAAGACAAAAATTCTAATTTTAATAAATGTTTTTATGTCCAGGCTACATTTGCCAAAATGTATTATTCTCGGTAAAATAAAAAATCTACATTAAAACCATGCCACCTAGAAACTAAGTTTTTAAATACACAAACCAGAACTGAATAAAAGATGCATTTTTCGTGTCTTTTGAAAACTCTCCATTTTCCCGTTCCTTATGCAACCAGCTGTAAGTACTGAAAGAGAATTTCCAGCTGTGCCTTGTCAGCCTCCGGACCGATCCTATTGTGCTGCTTTTCATTTTCTTAAAGTGAGCTTTTTAGTTCTGCGAGTAACAGTATTAGCTGATTCTCTGCACACAGAACAGAACAGCGCTTTGTCCCCAGGGAAAGAAGCTATTTCAGACTTAACTAAGGAATCATCTAACATGTTTCAACAATCCCTACTGTTTCTCTGTTTGTTTTAAAGATATCACTGTGATTTTGTTTCATTTGCAACTGGAGACTAAATGAAACCAAGCAGAATCTGCTGTTAGGTTAGATGACAAGGTAAAATGTTTTAAATTTTAAATTACTGCTTAAAGCATGGGGTTGAATGGCTTAAACGACATGTTAACTTTGCAAATATGTATGAAATAATACTAGCTGTATTTAGCAATACTGAACTGAACTGCTTTTCTAGATAAAATATGCAAAACCAGTGGATTTGCTTTTTGTTGGATATGAATGTTTGCCATGCACTTTGAGCCTAAACTAACTGAAAGTGCAATTAGTTTTGCTGGTATGGCTAAATGTAACTCATTTCTATGCAATAAATTTAAAGAGTATGTGAAAAATCTCGGTAAATCACTTTAACCCCTGTGTATCATGAGAAATAACTTTGACATCTTTGAAACATGTTTGAATTTTGACTGAACAGATAAAGATAGATTATTTAATAAATGCTGATACCCTGGTATTCCTGAAGGGTCACTACTTTAAAAATTAACTAGTTCCATTAACATAAAAGCAAAATGACAGATACTGAACTTACTGAAGATAAACAATTGAAAGCTACAAACTACTGAACACATCTCATGACAAAAGTAAAGTTAATAAAGATGCTTACACATACTATGCATGATCTAAACATATGAGTAAAATTAAAAAAGGTATAGCAATGCAGCCATGTTGAGAGTATCTGGCAACACAAAGGTGTAATAATGTCATTATATTAACTATCTATAATTTTATTTTGATATGTAATGATTTATTACAAAACTTATATAGGTTGAATAGGTTAAATTTTCCCTAAATTAAAAGTTTGTTGACACTATACTAAATATAACTTCCTGACAGATAATCTGAGGGTTCCAGTGATGGCCAGTAAAGGCCCAATGCATTTTTCTTCTATGACATTCACAATTTGGCCCTTAAAATGTGAGACAACACTTACTAAATAAACCAAGGAAAGAAACTTAGAAATGTAGCTCAGTATTTTGCATGCAAGGAACACCATTTGTTTGAAATTAGCAGTATTAAGTTTTCAGTACTGAAGAGTTAACTTGATGTGAAAATATAGCAAATGAATTCACATATATGAACAGGATTAGTTTATAAAGACATTTTTTGAGGGGTTATTTTATGTTTGGTGGGTTTTTTTTAATTTGTAATTATAATGTATTTTATGAAAACAAGTTTCATTTTAAAATAATTGGATTTACTATAGTTTTAGTCTGTATTGAAGTCAACAACAAAACTCAGAGAAATCATTTGTAGAGTAAATGTAATGTAATTCAACCTATATATTCCTCACTTTTAAAAATACATGCATGGAGAATGGAAAAGTATTTTAGTCATGCCATTATATGCCTCTGGTCACAAGAAGAAAGGGTTAAATGTTAAAAACACAAATGTTATGTAGCATTATTGTAACTACATAGCTATGGCATTATTATAAAGCATACTATAAAAATGTGACCATAATTAAGATGTCACTAACTCAACAGAATGAATACACATGTTCAAGACTTTTCTTTGTATATTCAGTTTTCCCTAAGGGCTCTTTGTGTGTTTGATTCAAATTTGTGGAACAAAAGTTTACTGTGTAATTTTATAGCCCATCATTACCATGCAAGTAAGTTAGAAACCAAAAACATTAGGTCATTTGTCCTGCAAGCTGAGGTACTAAGAAACAAGCACTTTCTGAAAAAGAACAGACATCATCAGGGCAGAATACAAGCTTCTGCATCCATTCGATATGTTAACTAACAGTAATTTCTGTAAATAAAAGGCCAGCGTAAAGTCTACAGAGCATTTTGGAATAACTGATTTCTAAGGGGTAGAAAGCAGTAAACTAAAGTCTGGATTAATTTCAGGACCCTGCTATTACAACAAGATGTTATGTGGATTTGTGTGGGATGCATCTCAAATTCTCTTTATATGGGAATAAAATATTAGCTTAGCTTAACAAAATCCTACAAAATCCTACAAATTAATATATATATTTGCTATATTTTAAAATTAAAATAGTTGAACACAAAAATTATGATATTGGAAAGAAGTAAGAGCAAACTGTTTTAAGCTTATTTACTGCCAATTTTCAATTTAAAAACAAAATATGAAAATTATGCCGTGGAAAGCATGAAAAACATGCTATCAGTCACATGCCTTATGTTAAAGACAAGATAGACAATTTGTACCAAAAACATGACCTATTATATAAATTAGACAATACCAAGATGCAGAAACTTCTAAAAAAAAAAATATCTGATTCATGCAAGAAACACAGTTCAAGTTCCTGAAATAACACCCTCCTGCATTTATACAATTTGTGTAACTATAATCAGTCTAACTCCAAAGTGAAAGACTCTACATAAAGGCAGACTGATGAGCATTAAGAAAAAGCATTTTTTAATCCCCTCAAGACTTCCTTAGAAAAAAAACACATGGACATAGTTTAAGCCTTGTCTTGGACACAAAGTGCTCTAAGCCTCAAGTTCTTCTGTAATTCTCAACATCACAAGAATACGAGTGTCTCCAGACACTTCTCGGTTTAAATAGGCCACAGGACAAGAGCGTTTCCTTTTTGAAAGAATTGTGCCAACAGAGCTATGACAAATCATTAATAACTTTGGACATGCATAGACTTATTTCCACACTGATATAGCCATTGCTGGATATGCTTTCTGTGCATACCCCTGAATCTTGACTGCTCTGTTTTGGAATGCCACCTATTGGTGACAGTAAACGTAATTTTTCTGTCAGAAGCATAAGGCAGCTTAAGATATATACTCATTTTTAATTTCTTTGATAGTAAATGCAGAATACAACCCATTATAGATCAACCATTTTAGACTACCTATGCTTAATAAAAACTTCTGCTAGAAAAGCAGAAGTGGGATGTCATGAGTAGCGCTATTGTGTTCAAACTTCCAAAAGGTCCCCTCTACTGCAGAACCAAACAGATTCTGGGAAAGAGGGGGAAGGCTGGAAATGGAAGCAAAAGGAACATCTCTTTTCATCTACGGTGAAAACCACCTTGCACAGAAATAGCAAACCAAAATAATTTGGTGCAGAGCAACAGAAATTCATTGAGATTTTTCTGTTACTTTGCCATCTCCATGTTCAGAAGTTACCACAACCTGAAAGAAATATTAGCAATCAAAAAAGTGAAGAAACACTTCACAGCTTTCAGGGACAACCCTGCTGGAAGCAGTAACAATTACAAAACTACAAACGCCTGATGGCACTGCAAATGTAAACTACTTGTTTAAATGCAATCCCAAACACAAAGGTAGCACCTCACTACATGCGTGATTAATTTTGATTGAAAAAGATACTTCTAAACACAGTTTGACTCATCCAGTGGTTGGCTGATGAGCTGGACTCAACTGGACAATTGGATGTTTGATTCAATTGACAGTTGGACTTGATGATCCTAAAGGTCTTTTCCAACCTAAATAATTCAGTGTGATTCTGATAAAACAAAATATCCCTCTATCCAGCAGTATATCTGAATTTGACTATTGTCCTCAAGGGACAATAGTCAGGAACCACAAAAATCAAATTGCTTACTTGAGCTCTCATAGGGCATTTTCTTTCCAAGAGGAAGCTTGATTGTATTGACCTACCCTGCCTTGATCTATCTCCTCTGAAAAGCGCACCATATGACTGACATAATCCAAAAAGCTCTCTAGGTGTCTAATTTTCCTGTTTTTTCCAGTTCCAGGATACTTTGAGACGCGCAAAGACATGCAGGCTACATCATTAGTCTATTATTTCCTGCTTGTCTCTCTGTGCATTGATTTTTCTCAAAATGAAAGCAGTACACTTCTCAGGAGGCCAAGGAGAAGAACACGCCACAGAGGACTGCGCAGGAGCTCCTCAGCAGGGCACAGGTCCCCAAGGCAGCCAGGGATGGAGCTTCCAGCTCCCGTTGCCGCAGCACCCAGCATACCTCTTATTAACATTGATGACGGTGTTATGGGAGTATTTGATTCTTTCATAGGTTTGGGTGGCCATGAATCGAGTTACAATGTTTTACCAGGTAAGAACAAAGCCTCTCTACTGCTCAGAGCAGGCCCATTTTCATCTTGATTTCAAATGAAATGTATAAACTCATGAAGGATTCATTTTAGCTTTATTTGCAACAGATACTGAAATAAATCCCAATTACCTTTTTGGTAACCCATTTTTGTTGCCTTTTATAATAATTTTGTGGTTACCATATAAAGCTTTTTAGTTGCTTAAGCCTTATGCAGAATCCTGCTTTGCCATGTAACAGTAGTATTTTTTGCAATTTCTCTGCATTATCATTTCATTCTATCTAATACAAATTTTGTTGGGATATTTTCATAACTTCAAACATGTAGCAAGTTTGAAGGCCATTTTGAAGAATTTTTTGCTCAATATATCTCCTAAGTCAATTAACATTCCACTAAGGCCCTAACACTAATAAGACCAGTGCTTCTTAAAATTGATTTATATTCTTATTTTTTGTTATATTTTTGAAGTGCAACATTCTTGCTATGTGTACATGCAATATTTTGGGAATACTGCTGTATTTTGTAAGTCAATCAATAACACACAGTAATAGTTGCAATATGAAATCTAGATTACAAAAAAGACCCTTCACATGGAAAACTAAACTAACAGAGAAAAAATACACATTCACCACAAGATCACTCTATTCTCCATTTATATCGAGAACCTGGATTTCTTTAATAGAAGTTCAATAGGATGATTTATATAAAACTTGCCTTTTAGCTGATCTAGAGGTTTTCACATTGCTGTACTAATGTGTATTTTACGTTTTTTGAAGGAGACGTAGGGAAGAGGATTTGATGTCTTAAGAAACAAACAAGCAAAAAAGCATAATTTCAAACAAGCAAAAAAGCATAATTTCATTGATCTTTACTGAAACCTGCCTTGGTAACCGTAACAGACCTCTCTCCGGTCTCCTCAAAGAAAGCAAGACTAGAGAGGGATTGAGAACTGACAGCTGTTAAATGTCTTGTTGGTCCTGAGCGCACCAAAGAAAGAGAGAACTCTTGCTCTGGGATGTTTATGATTTTACATACATCTCAAATGGGAAATTATCACTCACAAAACAGGAAATGAAGATTCACAAGAGTCTAAAAATCAGAATACAAATCCACTCTGGAGATAAGAACTTCTGAATAATACTATCAGTATTTTTCAATTTTGAAAGCCCAGTTATCAACCAATTGAAAATTACTGACATGTTCTAACACTTCATTTCTTTTGATAGAAAGAAGTTCAAATGTTGAAGAAAAGATACCGGGATGTTGTGGGGAACCAATACAGGGCCCTGTCCGTTCTATAGCTAATAAATATACAGATACTTCCATTCCAGCAGCAAAAGATCACTCACTGAGTAAAACCATCATATGCAAACTTAGGAATTTTATGAGAAAATAAGAATGCTCTGATTACCAGTTGTACATAAAATTATAATAATCTATTTTTATATACAAAAAGTTAACCCTTTTAATGTGTCACACAAGAGACATGACCACAGGGTTAACAGGTCTCAACTTAAATGGCAAAACATATTTTTGTCAGTTTCTTGACAGTTACTATTTGTTGTGAGTCCTTACTTTCAGAATGGCTGAGATCAAATATTTTTAAGTAAGGGGTTTTAACGGGATAACTAGCAAAAGCCTTGACTATAGCATTTCTTGTGTGTTCTACAATATTACTGTTATAATACAGGCTACTCATGTCAACCCTTTAATTTTAAAATATTTTTAAAATTAAACAGAGGAAAATACCACTTAAATAGCATACACTTCATGTAAAATATTCCAGTGTTTCTGACAGAGACCATCAGTCATGCTGAAATAATGCATGGTCCTTCCCCCCTCCCCACCCCGTTTGTTTCTTTCTATCTGGACTTGCATCCAAAAGCTGAGCTAAAACCACTGAACTCATTTTATTTGGAACTTTGTGCTGAATTTACACCATATTTCCAAAGGTTAAAAGTCCTGTGCTCATCTGCCAAAGACTTCAACCACAAGGTATTTTTCAGTCTGGCTTTTAAAGTTCAAAATTTTTTCAAGTAAATGTCAGATTTGGAAAAAACAGAGCCTATTAAATAATAGAACACTATTATTAATCATGCTTCAGAACAGAAGAAAATGCAATCCAAAACTTCATTTACATTCTCCTAGCTACTTATTTTGCTCTTAGTAGCTTAAAAAACAATTTACAGATATCATACACAGGATGAAAATTAACAGGTTAAATCAAGTCTTAGCAGTAACCAGACATATATCCTTCCACCATATAAAAATCATGTGAACCATTTAAATGGAGTCAGTTCACCACAACGTAAGAGAATTTACAGTTTGTGCTTTATAGACTACATTCTACCCATTAGGCAGTGCAGAATAGGATGTACACTGTTGCACTATTTCTAATATCTCTCAAACCTCACTTTTCCCTGCTCGTACCATCCTACTGGAGTTACTCAGCGGCCAGGAAGTTTAAGGAGTATCTCAGCGCGGTTTTTACTCTGTCTCAAAGGGGTGATGTGAATTCCAACAGAGTGCCAAACAACAGTTCTGCAACCCAATAAAAAGGGATCTCTTTGCCTTTGAGAACACACACTTGTCCTGTCTTTTTAAGTAGCTCATGTACACAGAACACAAGATAATTTGTTAAAGAAGTCAGCCGAGGTCAAAGCCTGATAACCCATAGCTTTATGCTTATTCAGACAAGATTTGCACCAACTTCAGATACAGTCTAGTAGCTAAAAGAAACTAAAGAATTTAAGGAAGCGCAGAAGAATTTCCATCTCAAGCCAGATATGTTCCTCCGGAACAGCTGACATTTTATTGTTTAACATGAGAAAGTGTAGTGTTCTTTCTGTGTTTCCTTTGGAGATTATTTAAAAGAAATATTGTGGCTTCCTGGCAAGCACATAAAAAACAGAAGTCAGGATCCAGCAAACAGCTGGATTACAGATACCTGGGTATAATGACAAGGGACTTAAAGCCAACTAACTTGGCCTGGGCTAACTCATCTCCTCCTTCAGTTCACAAGGCTTGAGTTGATTTGAGCACAACTTTATGTAGCTGAAATTATGCATATGTATCCTCTCCTTCTTTCCATTCCAAGAGTAATTTAAATCTAAAGAATAACTTTTAAAATCTAAGGCATAGTGGAGCATCCAAACAGGATGATTCTGAGAATTAATTTTTTCTGTTAGAAAACAGGTTCATATCCAGTGGTCTTTATGGTAGCACTGCCTTGAAGGACTTTGCAAAATGCCTGATTTTGAGTCAAATATTAATTTCAGGGCCATTTCAAAGCAAAATGTCTTGACAGAATATTTAGAAACTATCCTGAATACTTTCCCCTTAAAACTGAACAACCAAGCTTGGACCAGAGTGGAGTGAGGGAAAACAAACCCTGCAAACACTCCTTCCAAAGATAATTTGTCTATTGCAAATGACAGTCCCTTGCATGTAAACTCAGTCGGGATAAGATTTTTCCACTGTATTAGACAATCTTCATCTGAAGGAGGAGGTCAAACCAAATAGGAAAAGAGGAAAATTTTAATTTATACACAGGAAAGTACAACGTAACTCAGAAAAGGGTTTTCAGCTTGAAATGAGCACTTCATTTCAATTAGAAAGAGGAAAAGGAAGGTATGTAGGGAAGATTCTCACCAGACTCAGAGCTACGCTCAAAAATAGGAAAATAGGATGAAGAATCTCAACCTTGGCTTTCCTTCTCTCAAAAGACCAACAAAAAAACCATCATGCTCCAGTGCAATGTTTATCCTGGAGTCTGAATGAGAACGGCCCAGGGAAACTTTTGCTGAGGTAGACTCCATCACTGGAAGGAGAGAGAGAGAGACATAGAATAGTTTCCTTCCAAAGTCTTCATGCTCTCCAAACCATTTGTCTACTGAATATAGCTTACAAAATAAATCTCTTCTACATTTCTTTCTGAAAATTTAGACTGCTACCCTGAGGAAATCTCTATTTTTTTTGTAGATTCATGTCCAGAACCTTTGGAGACAAAGCATTTATTAGTACAAGTTGTTCAAGTTTGCTACTTTCCTAGCAAAGAGGTTTTTTTCAGATAAAGCAAGTTACAAGGAAGAGGTGTTTGCCATTATACTGGTCACTACAGAATGGACTTAACTTCCACTAAGCCTATGACCAGTCACTCTGAAGTAAATATTGTTACTACTACTAAGTAGTAACAATAAGTAAAATGAAAAGTAAGGAATAAGATACTTAGAATAGGATGTATTTTATGTATTTTCAACATGAGAACGAAACAGTAGTGCTTCTTTCCAAAGTTTTAAATAAACACTGTTGCTTTTATTTCAGTTTAAGCTGTTAAATTCCAATTCTCTATTTTCTTTTCTTAGGAAAGAAGGGGCACTGCACAGCTAATGGGATGATTATGTATGATAAAGCCGTCTGGTCTCCCAAGCCCTGCATTACCTGTCTCTGTTCAAAAGGAGAAGTGATATGTGATACAACCATGTGCCCACCTCTGAAATGTCTCCAAACTATTATACCTGCAGGAGAATGCTGCCCAGTTTGTTCTGATACTGGTACAGTACACCATAATATTTTTACTGCTTTAGAACTAACTCATGCAAAACCTAACATAGACACTACATTTAACAATATCATGGATTACAGGTTGCACATTATCCTTCTATAGAAAAAACAAGTCCTGAATTACACAATAAAAGCAGGTCTTCATAATTTCTAATCAAGCTGACTTCAGTTTCTTAGAGTACACTGGCTGTTAGATGAGTTTGACATGATATTTAAAGAAAAGGGGATGTTAAGTATGCAACTTAAGATAGAGATATTTAAAAAAATATATGTTTTTATATGTTTTTATTTTCCCCTTTCTGCTTCTTCCCTCCTACCTTTACAAAATTTTGCTAAATATATGAAGAAAGAACATCTGGTTACATTTTATATCCCACTTCAATTTACAAAGGATCTATCAGTAACCACTAACCATTATCAACATATTAGACAAACATAATAAACATAATAGAGTTTACAGACTGGTAAACCTTTGTTAGGAGTCTAAAAACATGCAGCTATTTGATATAAATCAAGAGAAGAAAATAAACTCACAAGAAGAACAACAGAACTACAATCTTGCTTGTTCTTCATAAAAACTTAAAAGAAAATCAGTATCTTTAAAAAGAAAAGGAATAGAAAAGATAAAGATGAAATGTGATTTCCTTCCTCCACTCCCAACACCTTAAGTCTGCAAAGTACTGAACTTAACCTCCTTTTACTGTAAAAATATTTAGTCTTGTGTGTGTGCACGTGTGACAGAAATGCACTGCATAGAAACATGATAGAAATTAACTGTAAAACAAGAAGTCATGTTGATTGAAACACTTAAACTCCTTTTATTTGAATTGCATGTTATGCAATAAAAACTAAACTTTTGTGACAGAGCTAATCCATTTCCCTGGTGAGCTCCCCACCTGCAGGCATCTCTACACCTGACATTCCCTTGCACAGGAGAACAAGTCTCAACCTTTGTGAATTTTATTCTATTACCTTCCTCCCACTCCCAGACACATTCTTTTTCCTCTTTAGACACCTCCATCAACACAAAAAGCTGATTCATGAATTAGTTTAAAAAGGAAGATCACAAAGGCTATATTAACCTTTTCCTATTTTTTTCTGGAGTTGCAATGAATCATACCTATCTACAAAGTGTGGTTGGCTTAATCATTTCTCAGTCAAAGTACGTCTCTTCTGTCAAGCAGTAATATAAGACCATATTTTCATTCTTTCAAATCATGTTTTAAGGGGAATACTATTCTTCTATAGTTACTGTATTTTTACTATATGAGAGGAACAATGTTTATTAAAACTTCAGTTTCATATCCTCTAATCAGACAACTTTGTTTTGTTCTCATTGCCTCTGGTTAGCCTCCTCTTTGGATTCAAGTATTATTTCACTGGATGACATAAGTGAGTTCTCCGGTGATTCTCCAGAACCCAATGACCTTGACAACATCAACGTATTGTCAGCACCTACTGAAATTGAAAAAGATGAGCTGCTTAGAACAGAAGCGGTGGAGTTTAAAGAGAAAGAGGGTCGGAAAAAGGATGAAAAGAAAAGAAAAAGGAAAGGCAAAAAAAATCGTCAGAAATATAAAGCCCATCACAGAGAAAAGAAACCTATCACAAGAAAGGGAGCTGAAGATGAAGAAATAGAACATGAAAGTGATGAAGATGATGATGGTGCTTTCAGAACGCCATCTCATTTCCCAATTCCTGTTCCACCCATAGAAGCTCCTCCCTTGCCATCTGGATGTTCCACCTCGGACACCACAGTAAGCTGTATTAATGCCAAACTTACACAAATACCACCAATCTCAGATCCAGATCTAACAAGCCTAGACCTCACAGGTAAAAAATGAGTCTACTCTGTGTGATTTTTGTCATGAAGTAACATTAACCATTCTCAAATGCAGTCAACAGTAGCATTAACACTTTGTCATTCCTTATTATAGAAATGTATTAGAAGGAATTTTACAGCTAAGCCTCTAAAACAACAAATCAAAATGTTAGATTTGCTTACCAATGTTTAAATTTAAATAAGAATATATCTACCCACAATTATTATACATAATACACCCGTTTTCACAATATATTTTTCATGTACAATACTACACAACTCAGATGCATACTGTCGTTCATAACTCAAACTATTTTCTTGAACTCTGTCCTAGGAAATAGTATCACTACTATCTCAGATGAAGCATTCAACGGGATACCTAATTTGGAATGGATTGATCTGAGTAAAAATAATATTACTTCTCCTGGTGTAGGCCCACGAGCATTCAAAGTAAGAAAGCCTAACTTTTCTACTATCCTATGTCTAAATATTGCTTAAGGAAAAGTTTTGCCTGCTTTTCAGTCTATGGATCTAAACTACTTTGCACCTAGTATGAATAACCATTGAATAATTACAATACAGTTAAACCCGGCTATTTCAAGAAATCTCTCATCATAATAATGAATATCTAGTGATTTTTTAATGACATGCGCCCAGTATTAAATGTTAAACAATAAGAGAGACAATTTTCTGATATTTTACCAATTGCAGTTGAGAGATTTCAGAATTGAAGAATTCATATTCCATTAACAACACCTGGGATACTCAGGCTCAACCTTCATAAATTTATGTATCATTTTTCTCATTACATTAGCTCTGTAAAGCTTATGCTCTCAGATTCCCCAAAAGATCTGCTAATGCCAAGACTTGCTACAAAAATCCACTCAAAAGAGTTGAATGTCACTGTATTCTTAGTTAAAATTAACCTAAAATCATTCTTGTGGCTTCAAATTTTTTCATTTGAGAACAGTATTATGATCTGGAATAAAACAGCATCAAATAGCATATACCAAATACAATAGCAGTTCCTGGAATGAGCTTTATGTTTACTGTTGACTGTCTTTAATGAGAAACTTTCAAGCACAGCTGCTTACTTAATGAACAGCCTTCTCATAAAATAGTCCAAGAACCTTTCTATATTCAGTCTTTTTCTTGCAAGGGGAACTTAATGGGAACAGGTTATTCAAGTGCATCGACATTTTCCTGACTTGAAGACAGAATAGTCCCATACTGATTTCTCGTGCAAGCAAGTACGTACAGGTAGTAATTTGAAATGTACAGGCAGTAAATTCAAATTCAAAGGCCTTGCTTTTTCAGGCAAGATGAATGCAAAAAGCATATGAACACCAAGCCGAATTATCACAGTATGTTTTTAATTTTGTTTCCTGCCATAAGCAATCAGTCCTCTCTGTATACCACCTCCTTCTATATAACATGAACCAGCTTTGGCTGATTGCAAAGGATTTCAGTTCCTACAACTCCTATGAAATCAAAGTGGATGGAAAAGTCAGATCAGAAAGGTGTCTCAATCATGAGATAAATTTTAGTGAGGTTTACATCATGCCAGGCAGTTAAGACAAAACTGCAGAAAAGCAGGCCTCAGAGGATCCACCACTAAAACAATTCCACCTTTTTAAGAAATGCTCACTACTGCACGATTACTGACGTGCATTTATCAAAATCACACTAAGATAATTCTTCATACCATTTTTTTTTAAGCTAGCTGAAGTCATAAAAATCCTAGGTCACTGAAAAGGTTGCTGTCATTACGCTTGAGTAAAGTAGATTTGCTGACCTACAGAAAACCATCAATTTGCTCACAAATGAAGAGCATAAACATATAATCTACAAATGTATGTACTTCAAACTCTTAAAATACTGCAGTAATGTAGTGCTGTAACACCTACACGACTCAAAGACAGCAGCAGTAATACAAACAGTGATGACTGGAGAGCTGATGTGCTCAATCAAGCTCTTCTGGTTACACATGATATTAACAGGCACCTTTGTTAATATTTAGCATAAAGAAAACGGTTAATTAGACTGATAGGAGAAAACCTTTCTTTTAATTTTCTTTAAAACACTTAATACTAGTGCACTGCTGCTAAAAAACTTCAAACCAAGTGCATTTAAGAAAATGTTAACTGTGATTACACTATATGTTTAACCATATATTTTACAACTTGATAATCTAAGTTTTCTTTTTCATCCCTATGATTAAGATTCTGAAAAAGCTAAAACGTTTGTATTTGGATGGAAATATGCTGGTACATATTCCCTCTGCATTGCCATCAAGTTTGGAAGAAATAAAAATAAATGACAACCACCTTCATGCCATTGATGAAGACGGCTTACAAGGTATTTAGAAAACTACTACCGATCTTATGAAATGATTAAAATAAATCTGAAAAGCAGAATGTTCAACCAAATGCATCTGATACAACCAGAGAAATAATTGCTAGCCTTTAAATGCCATGCTTTCAAAAGGCCACAAAAGCCAAAAGATTCACACAACAAAGTCTTTTAAAATCACATTTGCCTTTCTTATGCAACTGCTCCTCTCCCAAATAAACTTATTTTTATGGTTACTAAGTAGAATTGGATTTGAAGTATGTTGAAGACACCTACTCTCCTGACCCATAAACTGATCGCTTTATGTGCGGTGAAACCATATTAATTATTTTTTTAAATTGCATGGAAATAAATTTGATGTGCATGAAAAATAAGGCACAATATAATTGGAGTAAACCATGATCATTTTAAGCCAAGCTAAATGTGGGCTGATACAAAAATAATAATAAAAAAAGACAGATAGGGTACCTTCCATGCCATAATTTTACTGACTTCAATGGTCCGCATTGAAAGTGGATCAGTTTAGTGACACAGCTCACTATGGAGCACTATAAATGCTTGAGCAAAGACAAAAAAAACCTCAGGCCAAGGGCTGCAAGAGCCTTTCAGTTTAAATTATCAAATTTCACTGTTCAGAGAAGCTAAACAAAGCTTCTGTAAAAAAGAAAAAAAAAGTTATTTGGGTTATTTGTGAACTTATTGTTATGAAATAGTCTTTCCTGCTTATATATATTGACCAACACTAATTTCTACTGTGACCTGCATTTGGAAGGCTGAGGAGAAAGAACAGTAGTGAATCCGTGGAGCGTTCTCAACGCAGCACAGCGAAGGGCTGAGAGGAGCACGGGGAGGGGGAGAGAGATGAGCCCAAAAAGAGAGTAACAAACCCATGATCACGTCAGCGACTGAGATAATAAATGAAAATCCTTTCACTAAATTTCTTCATTTCTATGAACTGATCTAAGTAATGTTTAAGACAGTTAAATTTTAAACATGCATTTCATCAAGATATGAGATGGCGGTATCTAACAGAAAGTCCAACTTTTTCTCCCCAGATTTAAAGAACTTGGTCACCCTGGAATTAGAAGGAAATAAACTTAGTGAAGCGAATGTCAGTCCTTTGGCCTTTTATCCTTTGAAAAGTCTCTCTTATTTGCGACTGGGTAGAAACAAATTCAGAATTATCCCACAAGGTCTTCCCGCCACTCTCGAGGTAAAAACAGAACAAAACAAAAACCACCACAAAAGCCTAAAACAAGAAAGGTTCATTTTTCCAGACATCTTCGTCTCTTTTTCTTTTTCCTACTCACTGCATTACAATCATTAGGTAGAGACAAATTTAAATTTTATAGATTTATTTCTAGATGTATTTATAACTTTTAATCTTAAACCATTATTTCTAATTTTTGTTTGCTTGGGGTTTCGTTTAGGGATAATATCTAGAAGCTATTTTCTTCTTACTTCTCAATCTCTGTCTAGTTTCATTCCCTGCTTACCTCAGACTTTATTTCAAAGATAATTCTTGCTACCTATTAATTTAACCATCTCTCTTGATTTTTTCCTTTTGCTCTCTCTCATTTCAGTGTCCTCATATTTATTTCTTTTTATCCTTGGGATCTTCCATAGTCTGAAACATGAGGAGAAACAATATTTTTTCCATAAAATTACCTTCTCCTGCAGCTAGTGCCTGAAACTTTACTTGTGTCCAGTACCCATCCGTTCACATGTTATATTTGTCTTTTTTTCACTTCATCCCTCCTTGATGAACACCTGGCAAGTTCTTCTAGACTTTATATGCTTTGGCAACATTTAATTTTAAATCAACACCAAATAAACTTACAAGCAACGATTTGCAGGCTACAGATACTTTTCTCTTTTCCCAAAGCCCTCCTTTACAGGCTCTAAATTCTATGTCAGGTCCTACATATATTTTAGCCTTTAGTCCATTTTTATTTCACATCATATTTATCCTACATTACAAGCCATTATCAAGAACTTAATCTGTAAAACACAGTTTTGATAACTTGCAGACTCACACCATTAAGTTTTGTAAAATATTAACATTTTATGTTCCTACAAATTTGAAAGTTTCAAAGCTAACAAGTGCCCAGCAAAAATATTAAGAAAGCAAAACTCTCAATATTTTTATCACTAACAACTTTCCAAGACAAAAAAAAAAAAATAAAATTAGCAACTTCCTGTCAATCTCATCACTCTCACATTATATACTCTTACACTGTACAAGTTCAGGCAAGACAAAAGATACAACTTTTTTCTATTTGATCTTTCAAAGCAATCTGTATATGCAGGAGAAAACAAAAAAATTGCTTTGAAAAAGTGAGTTTCCGGAAGTCAAACTACAGCTATAAACTGACTCGGACTCAGATTATTATTTCTTTATCCAGAATGGAACAGATACATCAGGTAATATGGAAGACATGTAATAGCTACATTTTGCAATGTGATAGAATAGTGTATTTTTGCTTTCACAAATTTTCTTTTCAAATGCTCTTACAGGAGTTATACCTTGAAAATAATCAAATTGAAGAAGTGTCAGAAATCTGCTTTAACCATACAAAAAACATAAATGTCATCGTGCTAAAGCATAACAAATTGGAAGAGCACAGAATAGCACCTTTGGCTTGGATAAACCAAGAGTAAGTACGAATCATTCAAAATATAATTATTTCTCTGTTATTAGTGAGACAGATAATGAAATCAACATTTGCACCTCATCACTTTTAACTTGAAATTGTAGTTGTCTTTTGATTTGCTTGTTTTCCGTAGCTAATCTGTCTTAATTTCTTTTGCTTAAATTGTATAATCTATAAAGTATTCAGAATCGGTTTTAAAAGAAAAAGTCTTTATAACTCAAATCTGTACCATATTGACATAAAAGTCTAAATATTTTTTTCTGTCCATCCAATCAAAAAAGAACATTAATTATCAATAATACTCCACCATTTATATAATAAATATTACTCACAGGTAATTTAACAATAACTGAATACTGTCCTAGTTTTGTTTCCCACTAGATTAAAAATTATAGAGGTAAATAAGATGCAGCTGCATTGTGTAAGAGTAGAATTCAAGCAGAGCAAGCAATTAGAATGAAAGAAGGAAAAGATGATACTGCTTTTGATTCTTTTGATAAAAGATTTGCTAAACTATGCAGGGTACCTTGCCACAATCTCTCAGCTGCAGCCCTACAGGCTGATTGCTGGATTTGTAAACTGCTTAGTTTAAACAACCACACTGTTACTAACAGCTTCTCTCGTCTCTGGGAGTGAAGCACATCCCAATCATTCTGAAGATGCCATTCACAAAACAACTCAAATAGGCTACAGAATAAGATTTTAAAATCCACATCAAAGGGATAACCACTGAAGTCCCAAGCTTATACTGTGTTTTCCACTGTAACTCATTATTGCAATTCAGCAATGCTTATCAATCACAAATTAGTCCCTTGGGTTTCCCCTAATCAACTATCTCTCTGTACTCATTACTGTAGATTTCTTTCCATCAACAGAATCATTGTGCTTGAATGATAATTAATGACTTCAATTGTTTCTATTCTCCAGAGTCATTATGTATGACCATGCTCCATAAAACGTGCACTCTGTTCCATTAATAGAAAATTTCCCTTTGAAATTTAGTTTCCTTATAACCCCATTAAGCACTATTTAGTACAGAATGTAGCAGTGACAATGCAGGATGCTCAGTATGCTCTAATATTTTCATCCTTTTGTTTTTTTGTTTTTTGTTTTCCTCCTTCAATGCAGGAACTTGGAATCTATTGATCTCTCTTACAACAAGTTATATCATGTTCCCTCCTATCTGCCAAAATCTTTACTACATCTGATACTTATAGGAAATCAGATTGAAAGAATTCCAGGATATGTCTTTGGTCACATGAAGCCAGGGCTGGAATACCTCTACCTGTCCTTTAACAAACTCACTGATGATGGAATAGATCCCGTATCATTTTTTGGAGCATATCGCTCTCTGAGAGAGTTGTTTTTGGATCATAATGAATTAAAGTCCGTGCCCTTTGGAATTAATGAGATGAGAAAATTACGTTTTTTAAGACTGAACAATAATAAAATAAGGTAATTTCCAAGCTCTTTTTACATTAACAACATTAAAATAAATGTCACAAGAACTTTTTACTCTTAACGAAGCATTTTTTAAGGAAATTCAGAAGCAGGAGCTAAATCCTGTGTTTGCTACTGCAGTATTTCTGCATATTATAAGAGAAAAGTGAGATTTCACCCTCCCTCATAGCTCTTGAGAATGCTCACAAAGACGCTGAGCACCAGTTCTCTCCAGGAAATTAATCTGTAACACTGCTTGGGCCACACGTCCGCTGGGGCAGCTACAGTTTGACAGGCGCAGCAAAGTACCAGCTTTTCTGCTCTTGGACAAGAGCCCAAACGTTTTACGCAATCACTGCAAGGAGTCACCAGCTGTTGCTGACCACTGAAAGTGGCCTTTCCACAGGTCTGAAGTTAGTTTTCATTCAGCAACACATGACAATACTTTCCTCAGGAAAACTAAGTATATGATACAAATGAGAAAACAATGAAAGGAGAGAATTTAAATAAGAATGACTTGTAGAAGTCCTCAATAAATATATTATTGAGAAAATGTACTGATTGAGTTAACATTTTTCAATCTCTAAATAAACAGCATCTTTAAAATAAGTTATGAGGTTATGAGTCATCTTGAATAATTAAAATATAATTCTTCCCACAATCTCACAGGACAGTCCCTCCAGAACGCATCTGCAGGATTCATATCGATGATGATGACGTTCATGAGAACAGTGAGGAAGAGGAGAATGAAGAGTCACGCTTGGAACATGTTCATCTTGAAAACAACTACATCAATACAAGACAGCTATCCCCACACGCGTTTCCATGCATAAGATCCTATTGTAGTGTTGTTCTTAAACCACAAAAGCGCAAATAAACACCCAACTCTTGCAGTGTAACCCCTATCTCTAGAAACACAGCTTTATTTATTCTCTGCTACTAACAGGTCTGCTTATTTTCCATTTAAACCCTTCTTACTACTATAGATAAGATACAGTATATTATATACTGAAGTATGGTAGTAGTGTATTTCTTAGTATCGTTTCATTATAAATACATTAAATGGAAAAATAGAAGCTAAAGATTATGTCATAAATTTTTATTTCTATTGACACAAATTCTACTCAAACACAATATATCAAACTGTGCCCCCAGATACACCTCCACAAGATCAGATTTTAGAAAAGAAGAATATAATTAAACCCTCAACATTTGATATGGATGTCTGCTTAGGTATACTGTGAGTGTTTACAAATAGACCTCTGCTTCCCTAGAAAGTTCAGTCTCTCGAAGATTTTTGTAATGTTTGAGTTCAGCGAAAAGAAACATTTTTAATATTCTGCTCCAGATTTTAATATTATATTCTTTCTCTAAAATGGACAAAAATTTGAAAAAAGTAGTTAATATTTTTCTTTCAATGAAAATTGAAAGCAATTCTAACATCTTTCATATTTCTTGATTTCTACAGTCCTTTCTACCACCAGTAGGCTGGTGGTAAGAAATAATTACAAATCACTGGCAAGTCATTATTATTCACGTAGTTACTTTCCATTTTCTCCTGAACTATTCTGTGAGGCATAAAAAAAATTGTACTGTTTTCTTCAGTACTATCAATATGCTGCCTCATCATTTCTTCTTCACAATGGATCGGAACAAAGAATGAAATGGCTTAATCTAGGCTATGACTTTTTTAAAAGCATATAAAAGCTGTAAGCAACCGCACATCATAAAACCTTCTAAGGATACATATTAACTACCGAAGTGTAACTTTATTGCCCTCGCTCTGGAAGTGAAGGTTTCACTGTGCCCACACAACATTTAACAGTGAAGGACCTCCAAACAGGGTTTTTTTTTAGCGTATTTTATGAACACCCGAGTTTTGTTTTCTCTGACGCTATCCAATCATGCTAAAATCAAAATCACATTGCTTTATTCCCAAATTCTCTTTTACTCAAATAAACTATTACCTGCAAGGCACAACGGTATTTCATCAGTGAGTCAGAAGATACTGCATTTCTTGTAAGAAATAATCCTAAGATATGTGGATTTCTGTAAAAAGACTGCTTTGGATATTTTGTTTGGTAAAGCATGGTCAGACGACATACCTTAGTGATTTGCTAATCACTAAAGTTTGCTAAATAAGCGTGAAATCAAGAGGTTGAGTTTTTACATACGATGTTCTGGGTTGGGTGATTTGATTTCATTGCTTGTGCACTTTCAACATTCGATCCTCCCTTCCTCTTCACTTTGGCTAACACTTTGGCTAATATTCCTTTGTCTTTGGTCTAACACCATCAAGTTCCCATAATACTGTTTTGAGACACTAAAACCCCCTAAATTATTAAAATGAACACTTTTAGTCTATTGCTAAATAGCTTCAGACTTAATTCACAACACTGCTGAGCGGTGCTTTCGGAACCTTTACATGTATTTTGAATACATGGATTGACCCAAGGAGGGATTTCCAGGTAAACTGGCTGTTGTATTACACCATTTTATGCATTCTTATAATAAATCTAAGCAAAATACCATGTATCATTGCAATTCTTATTCAAATAGAATCCTTTTTTTTAAATCAAAACATTCAGGTTGATTTTATAAGACCCACTAGAAAATCTCCTCTGGATTTGCATGGGATAACACCACTAAAATACAAATGACTAAAGATTTATTGTGGTACTTTTTCACATTTAAGATATCATGAAAGTGAATTTTAAGCAATAAATTTCACGTCTAAGATTTTTATTTTGGCCATTGAATACAATGAGTATCAAGCCTGCCTGAAAATACACTGTGATAAGTTGTTTCTACAAGAAGCACTCAATAACATAACACAATCTAAAATTATGATGCAAATACAATGCCACAGTAGTGAATCCAAGAGACTGAAGGAAAAGCATATTGGAATCGGAACACAACAGTAGCCGAGGCAGAAGACCAAGAAGGAGAAAGAAGCCAAAGGATAAAGGGTATACAACATACGGATGCTCACTCACTTAAGAAATACACAGGCAATTAAACTTGGATAACATTTCCATATGTCAAATGTAAGCAGTTTAAGTCTGTTCACTCTTCAAAATTACCAACTATGTTGGAAGGGAAATGGGCTTTATTATAAAAAAAATCCCACTACTTTGTAACAGGGAGCCTCAAAGGATTTTATGAACACAGTGGATGGGAGCAATCCATTTCACAGCTTGTCACACCAAGACACAGAGAAGTGACCTGACCGTTCTTGGTCACGAAAAATATGGGAATTCAGAATCTTTGAACACTAGTAGGATGAAAATATGCAAAGACAGTTCAAGTTAAACCCCCTAGAGTTACTGTTTATTCTCCAACATGTTTTTCAGCAAATAACTAATTTATGCAGGCTTACATTGGCAATTAGATTGAGAATGGAATATAGTTCTGCTGAAGTATCATCAAACTCAAAGTCTTATACAATTAATCAGCCATTAGATATTCTTGTGGAATAGAAATAAATTGTTTCAAACTTGGTCATATTGGTCCTTTCAAACTTTCCGAAGTCTTACAGAAGTAGGCACCACTTGATCAAAGATAGCAGAAGACATCCTATGGTTATCACCATATTAATAGCAAAGGCATTGACACTGACAATTTTATTGAACAGGATCTTTCTACTGGTTAAATGATGACAGAACTTTGAGGATCTGCCTGAAATGTTGTTTTGTGCACTGGGACATACACTTCTGGTAAGATCAAAACTACAAAGGTGTCCAACAAAAGAAGGTTGTTACCATGGAAGCTTGGGTAGCTTTCTGAATTTGAAGCAATGATGAGAGGCAATGTTGCCTCTAAGATAAGGTAGAAGATCTTCCTTCAAAAAAAAAACAAACAAACAACAAGCAATGATGAGAGGCAATGTTGCCTCTAAGATAAGGTAGAAGATCTTCCTTCAAAAAAAACCAACCAACCATCCAACCCAAAAAACCTCAGAAAAATAAAGGCATCAAATGCCTCCGAAATTATTATTAATTCCCATATGTTGAGACTGTTAGAACATCTGAGACCCCCAAAATGTAGAGCTCAATATGCATCCTACATCTTCCATTTCAATTTAATAAAGAATGGAGATCCCCTCAGGACAAAGCTACAAATCACTCAACTTTCCCCCCAAAACGAGTTTGAGGTGGGACCACCAGCTTTCTAGTGGCCCAAGACAACAAAGTGAATTTCCCCCAGTGATTTCTCTTTTACATGACACTATAGAGAGTGGTTGATACCATTTCTGAACTTTGATTCTGACACACGCATTACATTTGCACTTACTGTAAAAAACCCTTAGCATTCAATAAGAAAAAAAATCTGAACTGGGAAGCAGGATTTTATCATTTCCCATGCCAACAATTTGGTTACTCTTTTACTGAAGAAATCAGTGAACTCTTAAGATATCTCAGGTCACAACTTTATAAACAGTTACATCGTGGCAACAAAATAAACAGTTTATAATTTCTGTTGAATAGTAATACAAATGTTAACTAGTAGAAACTCTCATGAGAGCATTTTCTAATTTAAGTATTATGTTTACATACTACTGTATACAATTTTCAGAGACCACAAGACTGCAGAGAGTAAAATATTAGAAATATGAGAAAATACTACCAAAATAATTTTACACAATAATCCTGATGATTTTCTATGTGAAGCAGTTTTCAGAAAACAAGTCTGCATATCGTAAGTTTATAGACCAACACAGTATCTGGTGTTCCGGAAGTTTGATGCTTCCCTAAGTAAGCTTCAAAACCTCTACTTATTTGGGAGCATAAGCACTTAAAAATGTAACCACAGGGACCTGCCTGTTTCCTCTTTGGATTTACAGCCTGGAACAACCAACAAAGGGTCAGTCCTCCTGTTTTAATGCAGAAAGCAGCAATGAAGATGCAGCATCAACATGTGTTACAACTTTTATACAACGACTCCTTGCTAAATTTATCTATCATGTTTTGGAAGACCAAAATTCAGGTGAAATCACTGCTTAAAGGGGGTCAGAATGATACCATGACCATCTCGTAGAACATTCCAACCACAGAGGTGAAGCCTACTTTGGAGAGGACATGTTTTTAAAGAGACTTACTTTTAACGCTGGTTTTGCACGCAGGAAGCATTTAAAGATTTAGTGGATCACAAACAGCAGTCAACCATGTAACCTACACCCATTTGGAGGAAACCCTGCACCACAGTCTTACTGTCTTCTTGAAAAGTGAAAAAGGTATAAACCCCCAGCCAAAAAGACTAGTTCATAATAATGTGTTTGACTTATTCCATAGACATACATTCCTGTTTTCTAACGAACAAAAGAGAAATCCCTGCTGCTATTGCTTATTTAGTAACATTACCCTTCTATTAGAGCTAGTTACCATTAAATCCCAAACTCTCTATTTCAAGGGGAAAGGCTTCAATTTTACTTGTCTTGGCACACTGAAAACCACTTTAAATGGGGAAAAAACAGCAGATGTGAAATAAGAGCTCTGATTTAATGATGTCAACAACTTCTGTACAATTGCAAGGCCCAAAATATTGTGGAAAAATGTTGGAACACTTTTTCCATCTAAAAGTAATGAAGATGTCACTTACAGAACTCTAAAATGTATTAAACAGATCTCCTTTTCCACATTAAGAAATGATCCTATGATCAAAATGAATTTAGCTTTTTATTTTCCTAATAAATTAACGTATTACTCAAAAGTTTTATACCAATTCAGCCATCAAGCAGCTATACTCAAATGCTAGCAAGCATAATTTTAACAATTTTGTTTAAAGTACTATGACGAAATTCAATGGAAACACATTGCTTTAATGCACCTAATATCCAAGTTACAAAGTCTTATTACACATGTAATGTTCCTTGCTAACAGACACCCTGTTCCACATTAAAATTCCATCAGGATAGACCCATAAAGACTTAGCACTTTTTTTCCCTTTTCAGTTTAATAAGTAAATAGAGAATATCCAACAGAACTTTTCATAAACATCTTCCATTACCTAGGATGCAAGATTAACAAGTTGCAACAGTTACTACGTCATTAAATTACCTTTGGGAAAACTTTCATACACCCATTGTGCGTCCCTGAAAGAACTTACATAGTTGAGTACTGCATAAAATATTTTTTGATCACACCAGAAAACAATTCATGATAAATTATCATCCATTTTATCATACTGAAATACTCCAGTTAGTAAAACAAAACTAAACCAACAAATTTGCTAGCATTATGGTGTCAACCTTTTCACACAAGAAACGTCCTTATCTAAACTGGATAATGTTTGATCAGTCTTAAAAAGAATGGCATAAAAAAAGCCAATCCCAAAACTGAATAAAACCACAACTTTATTTTGCTTCAAGGAAACTAAAAGCAAAGGAACACCGTGAACTACAATACCCTTTCTCTGTGGAACTATTTCTGGTGGCTGTCAAAGAGAGGGGACTGGACTAGATGGGCACCGATCTGATCCAGTACAGCTGTTCTTCTGCTCTGACGTACTTTACACATAGCCCTGCCTAATTGCTGCTGAACATCACTTTGCACATTTCCATTAAGTGCTTACTGACTTTATCAGCCTGTGAACACAGTTACTAAAGTTTCCCAGTACACAATGTGATCATTGCTATGAAGTTTCTTGGAGCAATACACTACTGCCTCTTCTCTGCAGTCACATTTATTAAAAATTCCCACCAATGAAGTGAGTTTACCAGGATACTACAAGACACAACCGAAAGGGAATCTCATTTGAACAGTGAGGTGGACTACAGGCTGGTGACAACTTTATCTCTTGTCATTGCCCAGTAGCTGAGTACTATCATAGGAGCCCGTGCAGCTTACGTGAATCATTCTATTTCAGTCACTCACTAAAACTAGCAGTAAAGTTTGATCTCTATTTCATACAGGTCTGTCTCTCATTGCAGCCCATACCTGGGAATCCAGAGGGCTCTCCCCTAAACTCTCCTCTCCTGGTGACTAGGAATAGTCATCTGGGAGTTCTAGTTCTATGGGTAATGAGGTTAACTTGGGGCATTGACTTCAGAGGTCTGTATTCAGAAATAGTCCTTTTTTTCAGCTTGGGGAAATGTTGTGTACTACAACTTCTTGGAAGACCATATTAATCTCAAGAAAAGGGAAAGATCTTCTCTCTTCCTCTTCTCCAGATTGCCGCTTTCTTTATAAACATTAATTTCTTTTCTATTGGGAGATAAAAATATGCAAAAGTATGCCAGGTATTAGGAGCTAGGCAGTTATGGGAAATGCCTGAATATTTCTTATTTATCATAAGGCACAATAACTGTTGTGCTGGGCTGAAAATTTACATGGTGTTTGGGAGTTTAAAGGCTTAGCTATTCACTTTTCTCATTAATACTAAAAGCCAGTTATGTTTTTGCCCCATGCTTCAAATCCAGTCCTACGAGTTTGCCAACTATAATGGACACAAGCATTCTCTGTAATCTCGGCAAGCGAACAAATGCTCAAGAGTTGAGTGAATTCTCCAAAACAATATTCTTCCACTGTCTGATTG